CNAGGCGCGCGAGGCGCGTGAGGCGCCAGGTCCAGGCGACGGACGCGAAGGCGAAGCCCGCGCCGAGGCTCGCGAAGAGGAAGCCGTTGCCGAGCGCGCCCGCGACGCTGTTCGCCGTCGCGGGCGTCGACACGCGCGCGAAGACGAGGACGACGGCCGAGATGACGCTGAGGATGACCTGGCTCCACCAGGAGCACCAGCCCACGCGCCAGAGCGCGAGGGACCGCCGGTTCGCGGGCAGCGTCGCCGCCGCGATGGCCGGCGCCGACGCCATCTCCGACGCCGCGGCGTCGATGGCCTGGCCGAGGCCGCCGTCGTCCTTGGCCGCCGCGCGGAGGCGCGGCGCGTGGCGACGGTGTGCTGCTGGGACGACGAAGCCGCTCGCGGCGGCGAGGAGGCCGCAGACGAGGAGGCTGCGAGACGCCACCATCGTGACTGCCTCCGATTCTTGTGGTAATTCACCGCGCGCGCCGTCCGCGGGCAGCCGAACCGCGCCGTCGCAAAGCCGAGAGATGGAGCCATCCGGCGCGGACAACCCCGTGAACCGGGCCTACGAGCAGTGGCGCGCGCGGACGCCGACGGTGTGCCGCTGCTGCGCCCTGGGCCTCGCGGGCGCCTACGGCCTGTCCTGGGTCGCGGACCTCGGCGGCCTCCTCGCGACGACGCCGTTCTACGTCGTGCGGCGCTACCAGGTCTACCGCCTGCTCCTGTCGCCGCTCGTGGGCAACTCCCTCCTGGGCGCGCTCTTCGGCTGCCTCGCGGTCGGCGACGGCGTCGGCCCGCGCCTCGAGCAGAGCCTCGGGTCCGTGCGGCTGCTGTGGACGCTGGTCGCGGCGACGCTCGCCGTCAACGGCGCGTTCTGCGGTCTGGCCTACGCCGCGGCGGCGGCGGGCGCGCTCGACGCCGTGCTCTGGACCGGCGACGGCGCGTGGGCCGCCGTCCTCGCGCTCGTGACGCTCGAGTGCCTCTCGGCGCCCGAGGCGACGCGGCGGCTGCTGTGCCTGCCCGTCGCCGTGCCGCGCGTCTACTACCCGGCGGCGCTCCTGGGGCTCTTCTCCCTCTTCAACGGGGTCCAGCTCGACCTCGCGCTCGGTGTCGCGTACGGCTACGCGGACGACGCGGGCTACCTCGCTCTCTTGAAACCGTCGCCGCAGGCCGTCGCGCGCTGCGAGGCGTCGCCGTTGTTCGCGGCGCTCGCCGGCGACGCCCACTTCGTCGCCGCGCGCGCGGCGCTCGGCGCGGCCGCGTGGGTGCCGCTCGCGGACGACGCGGCCTGGGCCGACGCGGAGGCGGGCGAGCCGCGGCGGCCGAGCAGCTTCGGCGGCGTCGTCGAGTCCCTCCGGTCCGCCGTCATGCGCCGGCCCGCCCTCGCGCCGGGCGACGCGGCCTGGGGCGACGCGCCCGGCCGCGTGCTCGGCGACGCCGCGGGCCCGCCGCCGGCCGCGGCGATCCCGGCGGCCGCCGCCCACGACGGCGCCGCGGCGCCGGCGCGGACGTCCTCGGGCAACCGCGCGGCGCTCCTCGCGGCCGCGGAGCGGCGCGCGACCCACGCGGACACGTAAAGTTCAACGAACCGATGGAGCAGCTAGAGTTGCGTACCTCAGTCAGAGAAGCAGTACATATATCAGGAGCCACCCACGGACAAAAGATTCGAACCTCACGCCGAGGTGGGTGGGTGGGTCCGGAGGCCTGGTTTGGAAAATCTACAGTGTACTGATGGGTACTTGTAACGCGCGCGCGCGCGCGCGGTCATGACCCGCGGTGCCGCGGCTGACGGTCGCGCGGCGCCTCGGCGACGTGTCTTCACGCCGCTATCGTCGTCTCTGGGCAAGCGCCGCTTCTCGCCGCGGCGAGTCGAGCGGCGCGGGTGCCCGTTCTCATCGCAAAGTGGAGATTGGACCGCGCAGCTCCGCGACACGAGAGAGCGCGCGCGCGGAATCGCGCGCGCGTTGTGGCGATTTTGCGAGCGGCAACTTGAAGGCAACTAACGAAAAGGGAGGTCCCTGATTGGCCAGGAGGTGGGTGGGTGGGTGCCGGGCGCGCGATCGAAGAACCCGGCGTAGGGTACCCCAACTTTTATCCCGGGCCGCTCCTGCATATATATATATATACTGGTATGGCCGCCGTCGTCGTGGCGTCCCGCGAGGAGGGCGTCGTCGTGGCGTCCCGCGCCGAGGAGCCGCGGACGCTGGGCGCGCCGGCGCGCGCCGAGGAGATGGGCCAGGCGACGTCGACGTCGAGCGGCGCGGCGAGCTGGCGCTACGTCCAGGGCTCGTCGGCCCAGGGCGAGAACGCCCAGGGCGAGGCGGGCAAGTCCATCAACGCCAAGGCGTTGGACGGGACGGCGCCCGAGGCCATGTCGACGCTGCTGCACGCGGCCTACGGCTCCGAGAACTACCCGAACTACCTGCTCAAGTGGGACAAAGCCAAGGTCGACGGCCACGTCGCGGCGCTCGAGGCGCAGCTCGCGCGCGCGAGGGCCGCGCGCGACGCGCTCGCGGCGCGCGACGCCTACGTGGCGACCTACGCGCCGAAGCACGCGTACCTGCGGGCGCCGACGGCCGAGCGCGCCCTCTGCGCGTCCGCGCGCGCGGCGCTCGCGGGACGAGGCGACTGGGCCGTGCGCGCCGAGCTGCCCGGCGACGTCTTCTCCTTCCCGCTCCTCCGCGAGGACTTCTGCCGCGACGTCGCCGAGGAGTGCGCCCACTACCTCGCCTTCCGCGAGGCCTGGGTCGCGGCGCGCGGCGGCGAGGCGCCGCCGGGCACGCTCCGGGAGCGGCTCACCGTCGCGGAGGTCGGGCTCGGCGCGCTCGAGGGCTTCCTGCTGGAGACGCTCGGCCCCCTGATCCGCCGGCTCTTCCCGGGGCCCGCGCGCGGCCGGCGTCTTTCTTACGAGTTTTTTGCACCGCCGACGCCGCCCGCCGCAGGTCGGCGCCGTCGACCACGCGCACGCGTACACGGTCGGCTACGGCGCGGCCGAGGACGCGGCGCGCAACGTGACGCGCCGGGCGCTCATCCCCCACACGGACGACGCCGAGGTCACGCTCAACGTCTGCCTCGGGGCCCAGTTCGCCGGGGGGCGCCTCAAGTTCCACGGGCTGCGGACGCCGGCGACGGTCCACCCCATGGACCTCCCGCGCGAGGACGAGCTCGCCTACGCCCACGAGCTCGGCCGCGCCGTGCTCCACCGCGGCGCCCACTTCCACGAGGTCGAGGACGTCACGTCGGGCGCGCGCCACGTCCTCATCTGCTGGTTCAAGTCCTGGGCCGCGTACCGCGCGAGCCACTGCCCCTGCTGCCTCAAGTTCCGCCGCGACGTCTGCGTCTGCTCGCCGTCCTGGAACTGACGCAGGCCGCAGCGCGGGGGCGTTTTTTGTAAGTGCCGTCTGGACAAGCGCCGTTACGCCGCTCAGCAGTCGAGGTAGTGGTCGAACTCGAAGGGCGACAGCGTCGCGGCGTAGTCGGCCCAGTGGGCCCGCCGGAGCTTGAGGTAGCTGTCGACGAACGCGTCGCCGAGGCCCGCGCGGAGCCCCGCGTCGCCGTCGAGCGCGTCGAGCGCGTCGCGGAGCTCCGACGGGAGGGGCGTCGCCGCGGCGACGGCCGCGCGCGCCGCCGGGTCCGCGGCGTCGAAGAGGTTGAGGTCCGACGGCGGCGGAAGTACCATTTCGCGCTCGAGGCCGTCGAGGCCCGCGGCGGCGACGGCCGCCGCGGCGAGGTAGGGGTTGCAGGACATGTCCGCGAGGCGCAGCTCGAAGCGCCGGTCGTCGGGCACGCGCACGAGCGCCGTGCGGTTGTTGCCCGCCCACGTCGCCGCGTTCGGGGACCACGTCGCGCCGCTGGCCGTCGACCGCGCTCCGAGCCGCTTGTAGGAGTTGACCGTCGGGTTCGTGAGCGCGGCGACGCCGCGGACGCTTTCCAGTACGCCGGCGACGAAGGACGACGCCGCGGGCGAGAGGCCGTGGGGGCCCGCGCCGCCGCCGGAGACGTTCGCGCCCGTGGACGCGTCGTGGAGGCTGCAGTGCGCGTGGCAGCCGCTGCCCGTGAGGTGCGCGAAGGGCTTGGGCATGAACGTCGCCCGCAGGCCCCGGGCCTCGGCGAGCGACCGCACCATGTACTTGAAGAAGACGACGCGGTCCGCCGTCGCGAGCGCGTCGTCGAAGTCCCAGTTGATCTCGAACTGGCCGTTCGCGTCCTCGTGGTCCGCCTGGTACGGGCCCCAGCCCAGGGCCTCCATGTGCTCGCACAACTCACCGATGAAGTCGAAGCGCCGCATGAGCGCGTGCGCGTCGTAGCAGGGCTTGCCCTGCGTGTCGAGCGCGTCGGCGACGGCCGGCGGGCCCTCGCCGCCCAGCAGGAAGAACTCGCACTCGACGCCCGTCTTCAGGGCCAAGCCGCGGTCCTCGAGCTTCGCCAAGACGCTCCGGAGCACGTTCCGCGGGCCGTGCGCGAGCCTACCGGGCGCGTCGGTGACGATGTTCAATCTCTCGAAAGTCGCCACAGCCGCAGGACGCTGGCGCGAGCTCGGCGCCCTCGTGGACGAGATCGCAGGCGAGCCAGCCGACCTCGGGCCGCCAGGGCAGCGGCGCGAGCGTCGCCGCGTCGGGCATCGCGAGGAGGTCGCCGGTCGTCGGGTCTATGTCGAGGTGCGCGGCGAAGCCGGCGAAGCCCGCGCCGCCGGACGCGATCTCGCCAATCCTTGCGGCCGGCACGAGCTTGCTGCGCTGGACGCCGAAGAGGTCGACCCAGGAGCACTGGTAGAACTTGAGGCCGCAGGCCCGGCCGCGGTCGTCGATCTCTTTCGCCGCGGCGATCTGCTTTGCCTCGTCGAATGGGACGACGGAGAGCGCGCGCGCGCTCACCGTTGCGTGCTTGCTGGCGCGCAGGCCGTGCCGCAACAGGATGGCCATGCCTCGCTTTCGTGAAAAAGTGAAACTTCACAAGGATGGCTGTGGCAAATATGATGCGCCGCGCTTTTTCCACGACCTACCGCAGCCTCCCGCGCCTCTCGACGACGCAGCTCGACGACGCCGCCGTCGCGGCGTTCGCGCGCGACGGCGCGACGTGCCTGCGCGGCCTCGTGCCCCCCGAGTGGGTCGCGGCCCTCCGAGAGGGCGCGGAGGCGAATTTGGCCAAGCCGGGCCCGCTCTGCGACGAGCACGCGGCGGCGCAGGGCACGTCGGGCCGCTTCCACGACGACCAGTTCCTCTACCGGCGCTGGGACGCCTTCGACGAGTTCGTGCGGCGGTCCGGCGCGGGCGCGGTCGCCGCGCGCGCGATGGGCTCGAATACGGCGCACATCTTCTACGACCAGCTCTTCGTCAAGGAGCCGGGCACGTCCGCGCCGACGCCCTGGCACAACGACACGTCCTACTGGCACCTCGCGGGCGACCAGATCATCTCGATCTGGGTCGCGCTCGACACGGTGCCGGCGGACGCGGGGCTCGGCTACGTCCGGGGCTCGCACAAATGGAACCTGCGCCACCGCGTGACGAACTTCTCGGGCGACGCCCACAGCGACCGCAACACCTACGGCGGCGCCGACGCGCTGCCGCCCGTGCCCGACGTCGGCGCCGTGGCGCCCGGGGACCTGCTCCGCTGGGACGTCGAGCCGGGCGACGCGCTCCTCTTCTACAGCGCCATGCTCCACGGCGCGCCGGGCGTACCCGCCGACTCGCCCCACCGGCGCCGCGGCTACGCGACGCGCTGGTGCGGCGACGACGTCACCTTCGTCGACCTCCCGGGCACGATGAACACGGGCTGGAAGGCCGCGGGCTTCGACAACGGCCTCGCACAGGGCGCGCCCATCGCCTGCGACCTCCACCCGGACTGCGCCCGCGCGGGCGCGTGAGCGAGGGGCGGCGTACGTTTCTCCGAGCGTATGTTGAAGATAAAGTGAAGAGATGGTGAAGAATAGCTGATCTCGAGCTCGACCGCGGCCCTGCGCGCGGGCACCGCAGCTCCTCGACCGCGGACGCGCACACGCGAACAGCGGCTCCACGACCGCGGAGCGCGCAGGCCGCGCACCGCGGCTCCACGCGTCGGCACGATCGCTCCCAACGCCAAGTACACGAAGATGGCCGGGCGGACGGGCATGGACGGCGACCTCGAGGGCCTGCTGACGAAGCTCAAGGCCATCCAGGTCCAGGTCGGCGGCGGGAAGCCGACGGCCCAGTCGCGGGAGGCCGAGGCGCGCGGCGGCCGCGGCGTCGACCGCTTCCTCGACCTCAAGGAGGCCATGATGGCGTCGCTCAAGGACATCCGGCGCATGGCGGCCGAAAACGTCGAAAACCCGACGGCGAACCCGAAGGAGCAGATCGCGCTCGACGCGAGGATCAAGCGGAGCCTGCGGGGCCTGACGGAGGACTGGCACGACCTCGACGGCCTCGTGCAGGCGGAGCTGCGCAAGCGCAAGTCCAAGTTCGACGCCGACGAGCTCGCGACGCGCGAGGAGCTCGTGCTGAGGCTGTTGCGGGAGATCGACGACGTCAAGGCCGCGCACCGCGCGGGCTACGGCGACCGGAGCCGCGGGAGCGCGCCCGTGGACCGGGGTCTCGTGTCCAAGGAGGACTGCGAGCTGTTCCGGCCCGCGGAGCCGCCGGCGGGCGGGCCGGCCGGCGGCGCCGCGCGGCCGCGCGAGCAGGAGGCCATCACCGAGGAGCAGCAGCAGCAGCTCCAGGCCATCAAGGAGCGGGACCGGGGCTTCGACGACCAGATCGGCGAGATCGGGCGGGGCATCGAGACGCTCGCGGACATCGCGAACGCGCAGAACGAGGAGGTGAAGAAGCAGTCGGTCATGCTCGAGGACCTGGCCGCGCGCATGGACAACGTCCACGACCACGTGACGAACGTGAACATGAAGATGAAGACGACGCTCGACGAGGTCGGGCGGAGCTCCGACAAGCTCTGCGTCGACGTCATGTGCCTCCTCTTCCTCATCGGCATGATCGTCGTCATGTACCAGCTCATGGTTGCCTGACCCCCCCGTCGTTTTTGGCGCCGCGCTAATCCCGGGCGACGAGCGGGCGGGATCCTAGTGGCGGCGGCGTCCCTAGTTGACGTGCTGCATGATGTAGTGGAGGGACTCGACGAAGCGCTGGACGTCGTCGTGGAGGACCTCGATGACGGCGCTGTCGAACCAGTCGTGGGCGACGTCGGCCTTGATGTGCTCCGCGGCGAGCTTGAAGGCGTGGGCGAGCCGGTTCTTGGACGCGCCGCGGCTGCTCGACACGCCGACGACGAGGAACGTGTCGCGCCGCTCCGCGAGGACGACGAGGGGCTTGTCCTTGTCCGCGGCCCACTTGCCGTTGTGCTGGTGGACGCCGAGGAGGAAGAGGGCGAGCTTGCGCACGGCGAGGGGCTTGGCGAAGACGTCGGACGTCGCGGACGTGATGTAGGCGTAGCGGAAGTGGCGGAGCGTCGTGATCTCCTTCTTCTCGACCATGGACACGGCCTGCTGGACGACGGAGCGCTGGAGGAGCGTCGCCGCCCGGATGCCCTGCGCCAGCAGGGCGCCGTCGTCGGGCAGGCACGCGTCGTAGGCCTGCCAGAAGCCTTTGAGGAAGCACTTGCGGTCGTAGGCCCGCCGCTGCCGCGCCTCCCGCGCCGACGCGTCGCCGTTGGCCGCCAACGCCCCCGGCGGCGGCGGCGCGTTCTCGTCCGGGAGCACGTCGAGCGCGTGGCCCTCGAGGAGCGCCTCGACGATCGCCGCGGCGTCCTGGGCCGAGACGACGTCGCCGGACGCGGACACGCGGTGGAACGACGTCGTGAAGGGGTCGTCCAAATCGTAGGCCGGCCCCTGGTCCCGCAGGCGCTCCTTCATGGACGCGCGCTGGGCCTCGGAGAGGAACGCGAAGCGCTGCTTGCAGTGCTCGAGGCTCAACCCGATCTTGGCCAACAACTCCTGGAGCTTCCGCTTGCCGTCGGCCTTCCACACGGACAGGCGCGCGGCGACGTAGTTCGAGTAGTACATGGCGTCGAAGAGGGGCCAGTGGCGGTGGAGCATGAACCGGAGCTCCTCGGCCTCGAACGTCACCGTGCCCGGCGGCGCCTGGTAGCCGCGCCCGGGCACCGCGAGTTCCGCGTCGCCGGGCCCCGCGCCCTCGGCGCGGCTCGGCCGCGCCAGGGGCCCGCGCCGCGCGTCGACGTGGCGCAGCTGCGCCGCGAAGTACGCGGAGAAGTCGTCGTACGCGTCGTCCGCGATGCGGAACTGGCCCCGCGCGAACGTGAGGCCCAGGGCCGCCAACCACAGCTCGGCGTGCTCGCTCCGCGCGACGCCCTCGCCCAGGGCGAAGAGGAGGGCGGAAGACGGCGGGCCGTCGTAGGTGCCGTCGTAGTACGCGCGCACGCGCCGCTTCCGCGCGCCGGCGGCGTCCTGCGACTCGCGCTTCGCGCGCTTCTCCGCGCGCCGCGCGTCGCGCGCGGACCGCTTGCGCGACCCGTCGTCGGAGTTGTCACCGTCGGCCTCGTCGTCGTCGTCGTCGCCGCCGTCGCTCTCCTCGTCGCTCTCGGACAGGTCGTCGTCGCTGTCCATGAAGTCGCCGTCGAGGTCCTCGCCGTCGGACGGGCAGTCGCCCGCGTCGAGGGGCTCGGCGTCGAGGACGACGACCCTGCCGCCGCTGTGGACGTTGCGCAGGTGGAAGGGCCGGTGCGAGTCGACGACGAAGATCGTCGCCGCGCCGCCGCCGAAGAGCGCCTCGAGGTTCACGGTCCCGCCGCAGTTGAGCATGACGACGCTCCGGATCTCGCTGAACGCGTCGGCGACGTCGACCGTCGCCGCCGCGACGTCGCCGTAGCCCGCCACGGGCGTCACCTTGAAGGGCACGTTGTCGTCGCGCAGGAGCCGCGTCAGGATGTGGCAGCCGCAGACGGCGTCGCAGTCCGGCGCGACGAGGATGAGCACCGTGCAGGCGCCGCCGGCGCAGGCGCTCTGCTTGATCGTGTTGTACACCTCCTCGAAGCGCTCCCGGCCGATGAGCATGGTCGGTCGAGCGTCCGGCGCGCGCGGAGGCGACAAGGAGGCCCGCGCAGGGAGTCGCGGGTTTCTATTCTAGGTCGCCGCGCGCTTCGCCGAGTGCGCGCGCTGCGGCGTCGGCGGTGCGTGCCCGCGAAATACGCCGAGGGTCCGCGGCGCGTGAACGGCGACGCCCTCGAGCTGCGCGCCGACTTGTGCCAACGACGCAAGGCGGCACCGGGCTTGGCTCGGCTCGTTGTCGATTGATTTTTAAAATCTCGCGAGCTTGGCCGGGGTCTGCCCGTCGATCGCGAGGCCTCCGTCTGGACCGGGTCGCGGCCAAATGTCCGAAATTAGGCGCGCACCCCGCGCTCACAGGCCCATGCGCCCCAGGAGCATAGCCTTGAGAATGCGCTTCGCGTCCGTCACCTTCCAGTCGACGTCGCGCTCCTGGAGCGCCTTCCGCAGCTGCGTGACCGTCATCTTCTCGACGTCCGCGAGCGTCGGCGGCAGGGCGTCGACGAAGCCGAAGAAGGTGTGGCCGCAGTGCGTGCAGCGGGCGCAAGGCGGCACCGGCTAGCGCGGGTGCTCCCGTTTGAGAGAGTTCAAAATCTCGCCGGGGGTCTGTCGTCCGGACTTTCGACCGAGGTCTCGACGCAAGGCCTGACGCATCTCAACGCCCTGCTCTCAAAACACACATCCCCCACCAGCAAAGCGACGCACACCCCAGGACTCAAAGCTACGGCGCTTGCTTGTGCTTTACGCGTCCTCCTTCGCGTCGTCGCCGCCGATGACCTTGACCTTCTTCGCGGGCGAGGGCACGGGCATGGCGGAGCAGACGGACTCGACGAGGCTCTTGCCCGGCGAGGCCGGCGCGTTTCGCTTGGCCGGGGACGGCTGGGGCGTCGGCGGCTTCGGGGGCTGGGGCGCGCCCTCGTCCTCGTCCTCGAAGATGTGCTCGCCGACGCACCAGACCTGGAGGAAGTTGTCCTCGCTGACGGAGGCGCAGAGCCAGCGGTCCTCCTCGGAGAGGGAGAACTCGGAGACGGCGGCCTTGTGGCCGCCGTGCGCGAAGACGAGCTCCGGCGGCGCGTCGTCGTCGTCGTCGTCGCCGGCGCCGTCGCCCGGCGGCGGCGGCGCGCGGCCGACGCGCGAGACGTCGAAGAAGGTCACGCGGCGGTCGGCGCCGGCGGCGGCGAAGACGTCCGTCTCGTGGGGCGACCACTGGACCTGGAGCACGTCGCCGTCGAAGTTCTCGAAGACGTGGAGCGGCTCCGCGAGTTGGCGCATGTCCCAGAGCTTGACCGTGCGGTCCGCGGAGCCCGTGAGGAAGCGGAAGAGGGACGCGGGCGCCGCGTCGTCGCCGGCGAAGGTCGGGAACGCGATCGCGTTGACGTCCGCGGCGTGCGCGCCCGCGCGCGCGAGCGCGGCGCCGTCGGGCTTCCGCGTGTCCCAGAGCTTGACGGCGCGGTCGTCGCCGACGGCGCCCAGCGTCCAGGGGTCGCGGGGCGTGAAGGCGACGTCGGAGAGCGCGACCTCGGACGCCTGCGCGAACCACGACGGCGTCGTCGCGTCGCCGGCGGCCGCCGCGACGTCCCAGCCGCAGAGCGTGCCGTCGTTGGCCACCGTGTAGAGCTCGCCGGGCGCGTGGGGGTTCCAGGCCAATCCATAGCCCTCCTCGCCGTGGCCCCGGAGCATGATCGCCGGGCCCCGCTTCGCCGCGCCGGCCTCGGCGGCCGCCTTCTCCGTGTCGAAGACGCAGCACGCGGCCGCCGCGGGCCGCGTCGCGATGAGCGTCGGCCGCTGGGGGCAGTGGCGCGCGCGGTTGACCTCGCCCCCGGGGTGGGCGAGGCGCAGCACGACCTCGCAGGTGTCGCGCCCAAAGTCCTTGGACGTGTCGATCTCCGTGTCGACGTCCGGGAGGTCCACGCACGCGATCAAGAGCTCGTTGCCCTCGTCGCCGTCCGTGTGCGTGCCCAGCAGGAGCTGGTGCCGGTTCCAGCCCTCGACGGGCGACTCGAGGAAGCCCGGGAGCCACTCGCAGGTCAGCGACGGCCACTTGAGCCGCTTCGCCATGCACACGTCGTAGATCTGCGGCGCCGCGACCATCCAGTTCTTGTACTCGTCCTCGATGCGCTGCTTGAGCTCCAGGCCCGCGCCCACCTTCGCCGGCTTCGGGGAGGACATCTTTTGGTCTCGGCTCGGTGGCCTTTTTGAACCGGCGGTGGCCTCCACCCTCGATGAGTCGAGCTCACCCTAGTTAGGGCTGACTGCAAGGCGGAGCCGCTCGATCGATCTGCTCGATCGGCAGCCCCACACAGTTATGAGCGGCCTCTACCCGCAGGTCGCCGAGCTCGAGGCGCAGAACGCGGCCCTCGGCGGGAAGGCCGGGGGCTACAGCGACGAGCGGGGCCCGCTCGTCGCCGAGGCGCGGCTCCAGGTCGCCAGCGACGACGGCCGCTGCGCCGGCGAGCTCCACAAGAAGGGCGGCACGCGCAGCGGCCTGCTCAACCGGCACAACTGGTCCCTGCGCACGTTCTGGGTGCGCACGGAGCTCGCGGACGGCGAGAACTACGAGCTGCTCTACTTCAAGGGCGGCCCCGACTACGCCAAGGGCGCCGCCGCGCTCCGGAAGGCCGCCAAGGGCAGCCTGCCGCTCGCGGGCTGCACCGTCGTCGAGGCGTCGACGGGCCACCGGTCCAAGGGCGTCGGCTTCGAGTTCCAGCTCTTCGGCGCGCGGAGCGGCGCCTTCGAGATGTACGCCGAGACCCTCGAGGCGCGGAGCCGCTGGTGCGAGACGCTCCGGTACGTGTTCGCGGCCGCGCGCGACGACATGTAACCCGCGCATGCGCTAGGTACGTCATCTCCGTCGCGAACGCGCGCGCGCGCTGGCTCCAGGGCGAGCGGTCCGCGTCCCTGGGCCTCGCGGCGCAGCTCGGCGGCCTCGAGGCCGAGCCGTCGACGGCGGCGCTCGCGGGCGCGGTCAAGGTCAAGGCGAAGAAGGACAAGGCGGGCACGCTCTTCGCCGGGAAGAAGACCAACTACTCCGCGGCGGCGACGACCTTCCAGCCCGCGGCGGACCCCCGCGACGACTCGGACGACGACGACTACGCAGCCGGAGCTCCGGCGGCGCCCGACCTCGGCGACGGCGCGACCTGCGCCCTGCGCGTCGAGGTCGACGCCGACGCCTACCCGCCCCAGTCCGCGGCGCGCGCCGAGTTCCTCGACGCGTTCGCGCGCGACGTCGCGGAGGCGCTCGACGACGACGATTTCTCGTACGACGGCGAGGCGGAGCCGCTGCGCGTCGCGCCGGCGGACGTGCGCGTGCTCGGCCTCGCGCCGGCGCCGGAGCTCGACTGGATGTGCCTCGTCGAGTTCGAGCTCTTCCCCGGCGGCGGCGGCGGCGACGAGAAAGCGTACGAGGCGGCCGACCGCGCGGCGACGCGCGGCGCCGCGGTCCGCAAGCTCGCGGCGCTCGTCAAGGACGCGGACTCGCCGCTCTACGAGGGCGACGTGGCGTGCTTCGTCGACCGCGACTTCACGGCCGGGCTCTTCGGGGTCGAGGAGGCGGCGCCCGCGAAGGCCGAGGCGCCGCCGTCGCCGGACCCCGCGGTCGCCGCGGTGCTGGCCCGCTACGACGCGGCGCGCGCGCCGCCGTCCCGCGCGAAGCCGGGCTGCGTGCCGCCGCCCTTCGGGAGCGGGCGGAGCGGCGCGCGGCGCGACGACGTCACGTTCACGGTGTACGTGACCTACAAGGGCCTCCGGAAGCCGCTCCAGGTGCTCAACCCGACGAAGTGCCGCCGCGTCAAGTGCTGGGTCTGGCCCCACGACGTCCTGGCGGCCCTGGGCCTCGGCCGCGGCGTCGCGGGGCCCTGGACGGCCGCGCGCGCGCTCAAGCCGACGACGCTCGGCGGCCGGGCCGTCACGGCCGGGGCAGGACAAGAGAGCGAAATTCCCAACTTCAAAGGCTCCTATCTCGGCCGTTTTCCACTCGTTTTGGCTGATTTTTGGACGAGCGATCATCTCTCGGAACGGCCTCGACGCGTGGATGCTTTTTCCGGAACGCGCGCGCGCGGAACACTCACGTTGAAGCGACGTTGAATCACCCTTGTGCTGCCCAGGTCACGGCGCAGCTCGCGACGGAGATCCCCTTCCTCGACGTCGGCCCGCCGGCGCCGCCGGGCATCCCCCGGCTCAAAGCGCTCCAGGCGTCGCGGCTCCACGCGGGCAGCGACTACGAGCTGGTCGTGGACGACTCGCGCATGGACGCGTTCGACCGCATCTCGCCCAGCGAGCGCGCGGACCTCGAGGCGAAGCTCGCGGCCATGCCCGGCGCCGTCGACGACGGCGCGCCCGCGGCGGACCTCGCGGCGGACTTCAAGGCGCGGTGCGCGGCGCACGCGGAGGCGCTCGACGCGAAGCTCGCGCGCCTCGTCGAGGACGGCGAGGAGGACGGCGAGGGCGGCGACGTGTCGCTCACGGACGCGGAGATCGCCGCCGCCGAGGCGCTCCACAAGGCCCACGCGCGGCGCATCAAGGACGCGGACCGCCGCTTCGCGGACCTCGTCGACCACGCGGCCGTGGCCGGCACGGTGTCGAAGATGGACGCGGCGCTCCTCGAGGTCGCCTGGATCCAGACGACCCTCGACCCGGCGAAGATCAAGCTCTTCTAGGGAGCGCGGGGGTGTCTAAGGACGGCGCTCGGCGTCGACGGGGCGCGCCGATTCGTCGACCTTCGGGGGGCTCGTGTGGAACCTCGGGTTCATCACGCGCCCGATTCGTGCTTCAAACCCAGAAGGCGACGCAAGTGCACCTGCAGGTCGCGCGATCCAGCCGCCGAAGCCGCGACAGACGCCGGCCCTTCGCCCCGGCCCGACGCCCGCGCCCACGGCCACGCCGAGGGGGGACGCCCGAGGCCCCGAGCGCACGAAAGCGTCGTGGCGAAGGAGTCTTGTTAGGGAAACTTCCAAGCGATATCAATGAACCTCGCCCCGGGCGACGGTTTCTCCGAGACGGGGACCATGTCGCCGACGCGGCCCGAACGGACCATCGCAGACACGGAAATGCGCCGAAATTCCGGCCGCTCTGAGACGCCCCCCGTGGGCATCGACAACCTGCGAAATCGCCGGCGCAAATCGCGCGACGAAAAACAGGAGGAGGACACGCCCGATCGCATGGAGGGCATGGCGCTGAGCGCGAAGAAGAGCCCCGGGGGCGTGAGCCTCCGGAGCCTCACGGAGTCGACGAAGTCGCGGACGAACGAACTCGACTTGTCGGCGCACGCGAGCTTCGACCTCATCACCGTGCCGTCCCTCGACGCGTCGGACGCGCCCGCGTCCCCGGCCCACCTCCTCGTGCGCGAGACGTCGCCGTCGTCCGTCGCCGACGACGACATGGACGGGTCGCGGACGAAGACCAAGGGCGGCGTCGTGCTCGGGCGCCAGCGGTCCATGTCCGGCAGCGGCATCTCGGCCCTGCTCGACGAGTCCGGCGGCCGCGCGCGGACCTGGTCCATGTCGTCGTCCATGGACGGCACGTCCTGCAAGTTCGCCGGCGGCGTCTTCCTCGCGTCGCGCGGCGCCGGCGGCCGGCACCGCTGCGCCGACAATTTCGGGAGCCTCGGGAGCCTCTCGCGACCGAACCTCCCGGCCATGGGCGGCGCCCCCCCGGCGCCGGGCGACGCCCTCGTGTCGCCGAGCGCCGTGCGCGGCGGCTTCCGCCTCGACCCGCCGGCCCTCGGCGGCGCGTTCATCAACGCGCCGGCGCGCGGCGCGCGCGCGCGCGGCGCGGACGACCTCGACGCGCCGAGCCACGGCCGCCGCTGAACACGAAATAACACCCCGAAGAAACCAAATGACCAACCACATGATGACCCCCCCGAAATGACGCTCCGGCGACCCAAACCTCCGTGCCACGCACGGGCGCCCCCGCCGCCGGCGCAGGGTAGCGATGCGACCTGAAATCACCCCCCGACGCCCGGTGAAATCTTCTGTCCGCGGCTTTGATTAATTCGATGTGCCGGGATTACCTACTCTATACGTAACGAACGCGCGCGCGCGCGCGCGTGCAAAATGGACGGGAAATGGTCCAATTTCCTTGAAAGTCGACAAAATTGCGAGCCGAAAGACGAGAATCACCCGGCTTTGATGCTTCTTGAATACCAGGGACTGTGAAACCCAAATGTAGACGTGTTTTTTGGGCCCCTGCCAGGTAGAAATTTTTTCGTTTCTTCAACTTGAAATTCAACAAAAAATTGATTTCCCCACATTCTTTGATTTATTGGCCCTGTGGAGCCGTACCCCGGTGAATTTCAAAAACGGAACGCGACCCTGCGCCGGCGCGCCATTTTTCACGTAACCCACTACTCGCTAATGAGCCCCTTGAGCCGCTCGCAGAGGGCCGTCTCGTCCTGCTTCGACTTCTCGCAGGCCTTCCAGTGGGCCTTGTGGGGCTCGCCGAGCGCGCGCGCGAGGAGGTCGCGGCCGAAGTGCAACGGCGCGAAGCGGTCCGGCGCGTCCTTGGCCTGGACGCAGGCGAGGCGCGTCTTGGCGCCGCTGTCGCCGTCGTAGACGTCCAGCAGGAAGACGCGGGCGTCCGCCGGCGGCAGGAAGGGCCCGTCGACGGGCGCGAGCGCGAAGCGGCCCCGGTCCGCGGCGTCGCGGAAGTCCGCGAGGAGCTTTGCCGCGTCGCCGTCGCCGCGCCGCGGCACGGGGATGACCTGGCGGTGCACGTGGTAGACGCCCTTCTTCGTGTCCGCGACGCGCTCGAACGCGACCGTGTGCGCGCCCGCGAGCTTCGCTCGGAACGTCGCGGCGAGGCCGTCGGCCGTCGCGTCCATCTCGTCGCGGACCGCCGGCTCCAGGCCCGCGCGCGTCGACGCGTGGGCGATGGGCACGACGAGCGCGTGGGCGTCCACGAGCGGGCCCTTGGGCTGGCAGACGTAGCACGCGTCCTTGACGGCCGCGACGAGGTGCGTCTCGCACCCCGGCGACGCGAGGCAGAACCAGCACTCGCGCCGCGCGTCGTCGGGGTAGCGCTGGGGCGCCGCGTTCGCCGGCGCCGTCGCCGTGCCCCAGTCCACCGTGAGCCGCCGGCCGTCGATCGCGAGGCCCGCCGCGAGGAGGCGGTCGAGGGCTTTCGCGGCGTCGTCGCGCGCGCCAAAGTCGGCGAAGCCGTAGCCCTTGCCCGGCGGCGCGCGCGCGCCCGCGAGGTCGACGTCGCCCAGGGCCGCGCGGAGCGTCTCCGCGAGCTTGGCGTCGTCGCAGTACGGGGGCAGGCCGCCGACGAAGAGCGTCGTCGACGCGCCCTCGTCGCGCCGCGGCCGCTTCCCGCCGCCGCTCACGTCGCCCCAGCGCAGCGCCGACGGCGCGTTCTTCCGCTTCGCCGAGTCGCGCGCCTCGTCCGCGGCGAGCGCGGCCATGCGCGGCGTCGGCGCGACGGACGGGCCGAGGCACACGTAAGGCGAGTCCGTGCAGCCCGCGGGCTCCGCGGCCAAGGCCGCGAGCGCGCAGTAGGGGATGGGGTCGACGTCGACGGCGTGGAGCCACTTGCGCCGCTTGTCCTTGGACTTGGCCGCCTGGCCGAGAGCGACGAAGCGCGTCACGTGGCTCTTGCGGTGCGCGGGCGGGTCCCTGGCGTTGCGGTAGGGCGCGCGGGCCCAGAAGGCGCCGTGCGTGCCCGCGAAGTGGTAGCGCGGCCGGCAGGCGACGGCGGCCTCCGCGACGCGGTCGTCGCCGACGGCGTGCGCGTAGACGCCCAGGTCCCGGAGACTCGCGACGGCCGCGTCGTCCGCGCCGACGTCGCAGCCCCGGGGCCAGTCGGAGCTCAGGAAGACGTCGCAGCCCATGAAGCCCGGCGCGCCGCAGGCGTCCAGGAGACCCGCGACGGACCCGGCGCCGCCCGCGAACGCGACGGACATCACCTTGGCGCCGGACCCGCCCGCGCGCTCCGACACCGTCGTCACGCCGCAGGCGCCGAGGTACGTCACGTTCGGGCCCAGGGAGTCGCCGGCCGCGACGGCGCTCCCGGCGGGCAGCTCGAGCACCCAGGTCGGCACGGGCGCCTCGGGCACCTCCGTGACGGCGTCGCCGGCGAAGAAGGCGCCGACGCAGAAGAGCGCGTCGAAGGGGCCGTTCGCCGCCTCGATCTTTGCCACCCGCTTGAAGGTCTCTTCGAAGCGGCCCTCGACGTCGCCGCAGCACAGGATCTTCATCGTTTTTGCAGGACCTCGATCAGGCCTCCATCATCTCGCCGATGGGTTCACAAAACCGATGTTGCCGAGATGTTGCCGCACGCCCGCGCCGCGGATCGATCCGCGCGGGATGGTCGCGCGAGACCTTAGCTCCGCCCGCCTGTGGATCCGCCCGCCTGTGGACGCTTGAAGTACGTCGTACGCAACGTGGATAGCAGTGCGAGAGAAACGATATGACGTTGACACTACCGTCGTGGATGCTAGATAGCGACGACGAGGGCGAAGCAGCTGAGGCCGACGAAACCGCTGTATCCGCGCAGCGCAAGCGGCCCCGGAGCCTTTTGGACTCGAGCAGCGACGAGGAGGAGGATGTGAAGCCCGTGGTGGCGCCGCGCGCGACCGCGTCCGTCAAGGCGGAGCCCCGCGGTTTGTTCGACTCGAGCAGCGACGAGGAGGACGCCGAGGAGGACGCGTTGGCCACTCATGCACATGGGTGGCCCATGTTCGCCGCGGCCCCGGTCAAGGCGGAGCCGGGGTCGGCGCCCTGGGTCAAGCCGGAGCCGGGGTCGGCGCCGTCGGTCAAGGCGGAGTCGGCGCCGTCGGTCAAGGCGGAGTCGGCGCCCTCGGTCAAGGCGGAGCCGGCGCCGTCGGCCAAGCCGGGGTCGGCGCCCTCGGTCGAGGCGGAGGACGACGAGGACGACGTCGTCGAGGGCGAGACGGTCTCCGCGGAGGAGCGCGCGCGGCGCAGCCTCGCCGAAGCCGAGGACTTCATCGACATCTCCTCCTCCTCCGACGACGACGCGTCCGACGACGACGACTTCTTCGACGACGAGCCCGCGGCCAAGCCGGAGCCCGCGCCGAAGGTCAAGCAGGAGCCGCGGTCGCTCGAGGAGCTCCAGCGCCACCTCGCCAAGGCCGCGTGCGCGCTCAAGGCGCGGAAGCACGACCTCGACGACAAGAAGAAGATCCTGCGGGACGCGCTCGGCAAGGTCCACGAGACGATCCAGGCGGCCGCCTCCGCCGCGGCCGCCGCCGCCGCCGCCGCCGCCGCGTCCTCCTCCGACGAGTCCTCCGACGACGAGGCCGCCGCGCCCGCGGAGCCGAAGCCGCCGGCGGGCGTCGTGCGGGGCGCCGTGACGCAGAACGTGCGCCGCGCGCTGGCGACGATCCCGGAGGCGGCGCCCGCCGAGACGCCCGCGCCGCTCCAGCCGCCGACGCGGACGGAGGCCATCCTCAAGGACTGCATCCACTGCCTCCACACGCGCGACCTCCGCGCCGCCTTCTGCGCGACGAAGTTCCTGGCCTCGCTCGCGCGCCACGGGTCGACCTGGATCCGCCAGCACGCGGCCCGGCGGACCCTCGCGGTGCCGATGCCCGTCGCCGTGCCGCCGTCGCCGACCTTCGGCCTGCCGCCGCCGCCCGCGTACGCGCCGCTCGAGGCGCCGCGCGACGCCGGCGCCTTCGGCCCGGCGGCGCCGGCCGCGTACATCCCGGTCGACGACGAGCCGGTCGACGACGACGCGAGCGACGCCGACGCGAGCGACGACGACGCGAGCGACGACGAGCTGGTCGACGCCGACGCGAGCGACGACGACGCGGCCGCGGACCCGGCCAGGGGCGAGCCGGGCGACGCCTTCGGCCCGCCGCCGGCGGCCGGCGAGGAGCCGCCCGGCGAGGAGCCGGGCGGCGCCGACGCGCCGGCCTTCGAGAGCGACGTGCGCGACCTGGTCCTGAAGACGAACGCGAGCGCCGGCGCCAAGGAGGCGCTCGTCCGCGGCGCCGACGCGACGGGCGAGCTGCTCGCGCGGGACCGGCGCGCCTTCGACGCGCGCGTCGAGCTGCGGTCCGAGACGCGCCGCGGGCGGCTGGACACGGGGAGCTCCCGCTGGTTCAACCGGCGGGGCTTCTGCGTGCCCGCGGACGAGCGCGCGGCGCTGGACGCGGCGCTCGCGCCGTTCCAGTGCTGCGCGTCGTCGGTCTCCGAGGGCCCGCATCCGCCGCTCGTCTTCGAGGGCTGGGGCGTCGTGAAGAAGAAGTCCGTCGCGCGGGTGACCATCACGTTGCGCGGCCGCGGCGACCGCGACCGCGTCGATTTGGACTGCGATCTCGCCGTTCAGATGGCGTCGACGGTCCGCGAGCTCCGCGAGGTCAACCGGCTCTTCGCCAAGGTCAAGGATGGCCTCCGCGCCTTTGAAGGCGAGACGATCGCCGTGGGACAGAGCGCGGTCAAGGTCGGCTACTCCCGCGCGGCGGAGCTCGGCGAGGTCATGAAGGTCGACAAGGACGCCTTCTGGCGGCTGCCGGAGGAGCTCCAGCGCCGCGTCGTCGACGCGGGCCTCGTCCAGCTCCGGTCCGCGAGCGCCCACGACCGCGTTTACGTCGCGCGGCCCGGCGACCCGGCCTCGAAGAAGGCCAAGCTCACGGCGACGGTCTACTACGACCGGCTCAGCTACGAGACGTAAGGCTTAAGTCGTGATGCAACTGATCTGCGGAGCTTGGTCTCTTAGGCGACGCGCGGCGCGGCGCGCGGCCGCCGGCGCGTCGGCGCTCACGCGTCGGACGTGGACTTGTGGTGGTCGTCGTCGATGGTCGAGTAGAGGTGGCCCTCGGAGGAGAGGAACTCGACGATGTGCTTGACCTGGTTGAGGTCCATGGCGAGCGAGCTCGCGACGGAGTTGACGTTGCAGCCCTCGTCGCCCGTGCCCTCGGTCGTGTAGAAGTTGAAGACCTTGGTCTGGTCCGCGGTCATGCCGCCGTCGCCGGACGTGTCCATGGCGTCGGCGGAGACGCGGCCGCCGGACGGGTTGAAGGCGCCGAAGGCCGACGCCGGCGCGGCGGCGCCGCCGCCGCCGGTCTTGATCGCGTTCGTCTGCTTCGCGTGCGAGTAGATGGCCTCGAGGTAGTGGTGCGTGATCTCGTTGAAGTCCTCGATGGGCCGCACGTCGTAGGCGGAGACGTTGAGCTTGCCGTTGTACTCCTTGAGGCCGCCGATGACGCAGACGTAGGAGCCGTTGACCATCTTCTCCGCGCGCTCCTCGACCGTCGCGCCCGCCTCCTCCTGGTTGACCCACATGGTGCACTCGAGCATGCCCGTCTGGTCCTCGATGGTGTAGACGTGCTTCGTCTCCTTCTTGTCCTGGCGCAGGATGTTGCCCACGACGCGGACCTGGTTCACCTCGCGGCCGTCGACCGCGAAGCCGTCGTCCTCGCCCGCCGCCTTCGTCGCGGACAGCACCTGCTTGATCGTCATGGGGATGAGCGACTGCTTGTCGCGCGCCTACGGAGATTCGGGGTGTGTCGCGGCGGCGGCGCGGCGCGCGCGCGCGCGCATCTGCGGGGGCGGCGGCGGCGGCGCACCTTCTTCTCGCCCTTGTCGCCCTGGCTCGCGCCGCTCTGCGACAGGAAGCCGCCGCCGCCGGCGTAGCCGCCGCCGCCGGCGTCGCCGTTCTGCGCCTCGTACTCGTAGCCGCCGTAGCCGGACATCTTTCGCGCGTGCTGTGGTCTGGTGTGGGCCGCCGGCGCGAGCTCGAGCTTTGAAAAACTCGAGAGCAGTCCCGGACAGCGAGATCGTTCACGAGGCACCTTTAGCTCGCGCGCACGTCAAGTTGCCCCGCGAACGGTTGGGCAGCTTCGAGCTCCGCAGGCCCCGCACCGTCGTGCGGCACCGGCGGCCGCGACCATGCCGGCGCGCGGCGGCGAGGAGGTGCGCCGCGCCGCGTCCGAAACCACGCCACCGATGCGACACGCGCGCGACCGCATAGGTGCTCATCGACGATTTCAACACGGGCAGCAAGGCGCCGAGCCGCGTGCCGGCGCGGTTCCGGAACCGCGTGCCCGGCGAGCGGCCCCGCGCGCGGAGCCCCGGCAGCACCGTCGGCGGGCGGCCGCGGCCGCGGCCCAGCGCCGTGTCCACGGGCCGCGCGCGCGCGCCCAGCCCCGGCGCGGTGCGGAAGACGCTCGACCAGTCGCCGGACCCGCGGAGCCGCGGCCGCGCGGGGTCCGACGACGGCCACGACAGATCGCCGCGCGGCGGGTCGACGTCCTTCCGCATGGGCGAGGCCATCGAGGCCAAGTTCAAGGGCGGCAGCGCCTACTTCAAGGGCAAGATCGTGAGCGCGAATCCGGACGGGACCTACGACATCCGCTACGACGACGGCGACGAGGAGCGCGCCGTCGCCGGCCACAAGATCCGCAAGCCCGGCGGCCGGAGCCCCGCGCGCGGCGCGTCGTCGGGGGACCGGCTCCGCGAGGGCGACAAGGTCGAGGCGCGCTACCGCGGCCGCGAGAAGTACTACCCGGGCAAGATCGCGCGCGACCGCATGGACGGCACCTTCGACGTCGACTACGACGACGGCGAGAAGGAGACGCGCGTCGAGGAGCGGCTCATCCGCAAGAAGGACGGCGGCGGCGGCGGCGACGCCTTCCGCGAGGGGCAGAAGGTCGAGGCCAAGTACCGCGGCCGCGAGAAGTACTACCCGGGCCGCGTCGGCCGCGACCGCGGCGACGGCACCTACGACATCGACTACGACGACGGCGAGAAGGAGACGCGCGTCGCGGCGCGCCTGATCCGCGAGCGCGACGGCGGCGGCGCCCGGAGCCCCGCGCGCGGCGCGTCGTCGTCGTCGGACAAGCTCCGCGAGGGCGACAAGGTCGAGGCGCGCTACCGCGGCCGCGAGAAGTACTACGCGGGCAAAATCTCCCGGGACCGCGGCGACGGCACCTACGACATCGACTACGACGACGGCGAGAAGGAGACGCGCGTCGAGGCGCGCCTCATCAAGAAGAAGGACGGCGGCGGCGGCGGCGGCGGCCGGGGCGACTCGTTCCGCGAGGGCGAGAAGATCGAGGCGCGCTACCGCGGCCGGGAGAAATACTACCCGGGCCGCATCAGCCGCGACCGCTTCGACGGCACCTACGACATCGACTACGACGACGGCGAGAAGGAGACGCGCGTCGAGGCGCGGCTCATCCGCTCCAAGGACGGCGGCGGCGCCCGGAGCCCGTCGCGCGGCTCGTCGTCGTCGGACAAGCTGCGCGAGGGCGACAAGGTCGAGGCCAGGTACCGGGGGCGCGAGAAGTACTACCCGGGCAAGATCTCGCGCGACCGCGGCGACGGCACGTTCGACATCGACTACGACGACGGAGAAAAGGAGACGCGCGTCGAGGAGCGCTTGATCCGGAAGAAAGACGGCGGCGGCGGCGGCGGCGGCCTGCGCGAGGGCGCCAAGGTCGAAGCGCGCTACCGCGGCCGCGAGAAGTACTACCCGGGCAAGATCAGCCGCGACCGCGGCGACGGGACCTTCGACATCGACTACGACGACGGCGAGAAGGAGACGCGCGTCGAGGAGCGGCTCATCCGCGCCAAGGACGGCGGCGGCGGCGGCGGATTCGCCAGGGGCGACAAGGTCGAGGCCCGCTACCGCGGCAAGGAGCGCTACTACCCGGGCAAGATCCTCCGCGACCGCGGCGACGACACGTTCGACGTCGAATACGACGACGGCGAGACGGAGACCCGGGTCAAGGCGAGCTACATCCGCTCCAAGGACGGTGGCGGCGGCGGCGGGGGCGGTGGCAAGCTCCGGGAAGGCGACAAGGTGGAAGCGCGCTACCGCGGCCGCGAGAAGTACTATCCGGGCAAGATTGCGCGCGATCGCGGCGACGGCACGTTCGACATCAACTACGACGACGGCGAGCGCGAGACGCGCGTCGAGGAGCGCCTCATCCGCGCCAAGGACGGCGGCGGCGGAAGCAGCGACAAGATCCGCGAGGGCGACAAAGTCGAGGCGCGGTACCGCGGGCGGGAGAAGTACTACCCCGGCAAAATCACGCGCGACCGCGGCGACGGCACCTTCGATATCGACTACGACGATGGCGAGCGCGAGACGCGCGTCGAGGAGCGCCTCATCCGCAAGAAGGACGGCGGCGGCGGCGGCGGCGATAGCTTCCGCGAGGGCGAGAAGGTCGAGGCGCGCTACCGCGGCAAGGAGCGCTACTACCCGGGCGAGATCCGCCGCGACCGCGGCGACGACACCTACGACATCGACTACGACGACGGCGAGACGGAGACCCGGGTCAAGGCGAGCTACATCCGCTCCAAGGACGGCGGCGGCTCGTCGTCGTCGGACAAGCTGCGCGAGGGCGACAAGGTCGAAGCTCGATACCGCGGCCGCGAGAAGTACTACCCTGGCCGCATCGAGCGCGACCGCGGCGACGGCACGTACGATGTCTACTACGACGACGGCGAAAAGGAGACGCGCGTCGAGGAGCGCTTGATCCGCAAGAAGGACGCGGGCGGCGGCGGAGGCGGCAAGCTCCGGGAAGGCGACAAGGTGGAAGCGCGCTACCGGGGCCGCGAAAAGTACTATCCGGGGAAGATCACGCGGGACCGCGGCGACGGGACGTTTGACATCGCCTACGACGACGGCGAGCGCGAGACGCGCGTGGAGGAGCGGCTCATCCGCGCCAAGGACGGCGGCAGTAGCAGCGATAAAATCCGCGAGGGCGACAAGGTCGAGGCGCGCTACCGCGGCCGCGAGAAGTACTACCCAGGCAAGATTAGCCGCGACCGCGGCGACGGCACCTTCGACATCGATTACGACGACGGCGAGAAGGAGACGCGCGTCGAGGAGCGGCTCATCCGCAAGAAGGACGGCGGCGGCGGAGGCGATAAGCTTCGAGAAGGCGACAAGATCGAGGCGCGGTACCGCGGCCGCGAGAAGTACTACCCGGGCAAGATCTCTCGCGATCGCGGCGACGGAACCTACGACATCGACTACGACGACGGCGAGCGCGAGACGCGCGTCGAGGAACGACTCATTCGCTCCAAGGACGGCGGCGGCGGCGGCGACAAGCTCCGCGAGGGCGACAAGGTCGAGGCCAGGTACCGGGGGCGCGAGAAGTACTACCCGGGCAAGATTAGCCGCGACCGCGGCGACGGCACGTTCGACATCGACTACGACGACGGAGAAAAGGAGACGCGCGTCGAGGAGCGGCTCATCAAGAAGAAGGACGGCGGCGGCGGCGGCGGCAAGCTCCGCGAGGGCGACAAGGTCGAGGCTCGGTACCGCGGCCGCGAGAAGTACTACCCGGGCAAAATCGGCCGGGACCGCGGCGACGGCACCTACGACATCGACTACGACGACGGCGAGAAGGAGACGCGCGTCGAGGAGCGGCTCATCCGGCCCAAGGAGGGCGGCGGCGGCGGCGACAAGTTCGAGGTCGGCGACAAGGTCGAGGCGCGCTACCGCGGCCGCGAGAAGTACAACCCGGGGAAGATCGGGCGGTGCCACAGCGACGGGACCTACGACATCGACTACGACGACGGCGAGCAGGAGAAGCGCGTCGAGGGGCGGCTCGTGAAGGCGCGCGAGGCGAAGCGGTCGCCGCGGCGCGATTCCGCGCGGCGCCGGTCGCCGTCGCCGCCCGCGCGGCGGTCGCGGTCGCCGCGCGCGGACCGGGAGCGCGCCCGGGAGCGGTCGCGGTCGCGGTCGCCCGTGCGCCGCGAGCGGAGCCGGTCGCCGCCGCGGTCCCGGGGCGCGTTCAAAGAGGGCGACCGCGTCGAGGCGCGCTTCCGCGGCCGCGAGAAGTACTACCCGGGCAAGATCCGCACGGACCGCGGCGACGGGACCTACGACGTGTCCTACGACGACGGCGCGACGGA